GCTAGATGAAAACATTCACTATGAACCCTCTTACTGTCCACCTCCTATATCAACCAGTCTTTCCGGTGTATAAGTGATGTGTGTTGAATCTACCTAGTGGAAACTCAACCACCTACTGTCAGTTTCGTATAAGCACCTCTCATAAGCCACTTTCCAGATTAGGCTCTTGAATGAGATGAAATACTCACCTGACCATTCCCCACAGAGATTATCTGTACTCCCCTAAAGATTATCTGTACAGTGTCTAAGTTAATTCTTTTTAAAATCTCTGAGAGAAATCTGAGCTCCAGATGCTTTTCCGTCCTCATGTGTTCCTTTCAACTAGAATCTACAATTCTAACAGCTGTCAATGCAATTAATCACTATCTTTCAATGTGAAAACTATCACCCATTTTTGTTTGCATTCTTGTATTAAACAATTTATATTGTTCCACATATAAATATACAGTAAAGGAAGGAACTTTATTAACATTACTTTGGATTATGAAATGTTCCCAATTTTTCCAAAAGACTTCCCCAATCCGATGCTCCACAGGCATCTTGGAATACCACTCCCAGGATTCCTGACTACAGGCCATGATGGCTCAGGCTGCTGGGAGCTGAAGTTAAAAGCATCTGGAAGGCACCACTTTGGGGAAAGCTGTTACAGCCAGTTAAAACCCAAACAAGTCAAACCTAATGAGTTAATTTAGGCAGCAGGAATTAGGAGTTTAGTACATGGTTGTCAAGCCCTCTATTATATTTGCATACTATTCTCTCTCTGATGAAATGTACTAACGTAGCCATGCACTTTTATTGTCACAAGCTCTGACAAAGAGTTAGATTAATTGACAGTGATACATTGACTAGTTCATGTCCAGAAAGCAAATATTAGAGCAGAGCTGAGATTTGAGCCAAGATCTCTCACATCTGATGTTCCACTACAATGGGGATGTTCAGATTTATTATATCTGTATTAATGATGCAACAGCCAATCATGGTTTATTCAATCCATGGGGAAGCTCTGCTGCTTGTACTCACCACGTTGAATATGCAATGCTGCATTATGCAAACCTAGCAACTGTGGGTAATATCCAACCTCAGTTAGGGTTGGATGTACAACATGGTGTGGGCAGGCACTTGTTCAAACCCCGACAATGAAACTAACACAATGACATTACCTGAGATATAAATTAAGCTTTGAACTCCTGTTTGGCCAATCAGAGAAACTGCAATTTCCAATTTAGTTTCGAATGTGTTTCTTATTGGTTTCCCTGAATAATAGATAGTTTAAGATTCAGAGGTGGCTGCGTAGATGACTTCAGGAGACTCAACTGTCAGGTAATCATTACCAAACTGTATAGATTTTGCTAGCCCACAAAAAGCTATGATAAAAGGTGATTCCTTCAACATCCTTTCAAGGACCACAGAATGGGTTAAGTAACAATTACTCGAGTAGTACAAAGTAATACATTTTGTTGAGTGACTATTGCTAAACTGATGATGCTAATTTCCAGATTAGTTATGCAGCCTCCAATAAAAGTAATTTAATATTTTGAACACTGCCCTAAAAAATAAAGGTACTATCTGACTAGCTTCAGTTTGAGATAAATCCTTGAGTACATATGAGCCAAGAAGCCAGCTTATCCTTAGACTTGACAAATGGCATCTCCTTTAAGATTCTAGAACAAAGCAGCCATTTTGCCAAAACAGTTTCTAGAAAGCAGTATCAAGACAACACAAATCATCCTCACAGTGTTTTTGAGTTGTTCACACCTGAACAGTTCATACCTGGCAAGCACCAGGGCCTGCTGCCCTCAAAGCACTATAGCAGCACTTGAGGCAGCTGGCATGGGCTTCCCTCCCTCCCTGCTTATAAGCCCTTCCACGTTCATAACCATTTCTCCCTTATTTATTTATTTAGCAAGGCAAGATAGCAAAAGTAAACTGTCAGGTCCCTTTAAATTGTCCAACCAACATCTTGGAGGGGTTACACATTGTGCACACAAAAAAGGCTTGCTAAGCAACTAAGTAAGCGTGACAATAGTTTTTCTTTTGTTAATACAGCTGTTTATTTTATTATTTGATTTGTATGCTGCTTTTTTCTTAAGAACTCAAAGTGGCTTATATCGTGCTCCTCCTCCTGCTCTCAATCTTATCCTCACAACAGCAGTCCTGTGAGGTAGATTGGGTTGAGAGTCTGTGACTGGCCCAAAGTCAGCCAAGTTGGCTAGATGGGTCATTTGCATGTACACAATTATTTGGATCTCAAGACTTAGCTGAAGCAATGTCCAGGAACAGCAAGTACTCAAGCTAGATGTTGCCCCAGCTGAAGCTCAAAATTTATTCTTCCACCCCCACCTCGGTTTCTCTTGACAAATTGTGAAAGGTGAGCTGTGAAGCAAAACCAGATATACAAGGGATTGTTGGGGGAGAATGGGGTGGTTTGGTTGCTTTATACCCCCTTCCAAGCAAATTATCATCTTTTTTGTTTTCCCTGTTTAGTACCCACTGAAGAGCAAATTCTGCACTTGGTCATGAGCCTCTAGAGCCTCCAGAAAAATGCAGAAGGGCACCCCTCTTTTTTCAAGGGAAAAAGAGTTTGATAGCTAGCTGTCAAAACTTTGAGCCTCTTCAAAAAGGTGGCTTTGAGTAGGAATTGGGTGGGTTTGAACTGGGACATACTTCTGCATCAGAAGCAAGCTTGTTATTCTTTATATTTGAAAACGTAGGTGCTAGTTATGAAAAGTCCACAATCATCACATAAGTCAGGCCCACTCACAATAAATCTTTGTCAGAAAGCAGAATGGTAAAAAAAAATATCCCACAAATAACCAGTATTTTGAATATAAAAGCAAAATAATTGGGAGACTATTTATTGGATCTTGAAAAATGCAAGATATTATAAGTGAATTTGTCCCCAGTTTCTCTGAAACAATGTTGTATGCTTCACACAAATACTGCAGTGACTCATTCATTTTATGAAAAAGGTAAAGAAAAACACACACTTTAACCAAACTCCACACTTTTCAAACATTTGGAGAGAAGCTTCCTGATAAATTCTGTCCCCAAAATACTGACATCTTGTCTGTCAAGACAAAGCTCAAGGGAGACCAAGCTGAAAAATAGCAATATGTTATAAGACTATATTCTGCTGTTAAGTGTGAAAGGCTTAAACTATGACTTGTGGCTTGAGAGGAGTTCTGCAATGTTGGTAAATTTTTACCAACTGGCTGAGGACAGTAAAATTTAACATAATTCATTCATTTTCAGTAATATACAATATTATTTTAAACAAGCCTACATTTCAATTTTTTCCAATGGACTTGGGATCTTTTGGTTTAAATGATTTAAAATATTCAGGGTCAATTCTTTTGTTGGCATTTAATAATTTGATGAATTGGGTACCTTAAAAAAAAAGACCTATTCTACCACCCCTTCTGCCAGAAAATGTGTGTTGCACAGACACCGTCAAAGCCCTTCTAGAAATTCAGTATTTTATCCTGCCCATTCCTCTTTCTCTCCAAAATACATGTGCTGTAATTCATTTTTGCAGTTTGCTGGGTGAGGTCTAACTATTCCACAAGTCTTGTGCCTGTGTACAAGCACAATAAGAAAATACAAAATTGCATCAGCATGCCGATAACCTAAGAATATACTTTACTAAATCAACAATGCTTCATGCTTGCTTTCTCTTCCAGACATTACAACACAGCCCATTAATGCAACTATAAATAAGCTTTGTAGTAGAACGGAAAACAGGGCAAATGGGATCCAAGTATCTGCTCTAAGATGAAGGGCCACAAACATTTCCATGGGATACACATTACAACAATGTGGCTAATGGAACAAGGCATTTAATAGTCTCTATTTTAACAGGGTTTATAAAATAGAGCCAAATTAAAGCTGGCAACAGAAGTAGGAGGTAGTAGATAGATTGAAATTTATGGCACAACAGCAGTTAAGCCAAGTTACACCACATGCCACAACTGGCGCAAACACAGGAAAATTCTGTCAGCAGCAACTTTTTCCTCAATAATCCAAACTATCTTTAAAAGAGGGCAGCCAGCTAACGAAGATCAAGAATGCAAACAAAACCTGAAGCACCTGAATTTTCCATAGTGTCAACACAGAAGCCCCCCAGCACTGCCTCCTGAAATCATCCCTCCAAGGAAGGGTCAGAGGCACTTGTAAAACAGTGCCTCTAAGTTCCATCTCAGCCAGCTGACCAAGACTAATGGTATCTACAAGCTGCTAAGAGGCCTAAGACAACAGGGAGACATGCCCCCATCTAGTTCCTGGTGTAGATTGTCCAATAAGGCTATATGTGATCTGAAACAAAGTGCAGGTAGTCATGCATGTAGGCAAATCATGAGTACAATCCTTATTGGGCTTATGCTGCCAAACATAAACATCTTAGAGCAATTATAATTAAAGCAAGAGTCTCAGAATTGGAAGGGGGCTGAAAGGTAATTGGATCCAATCCCCTGTTCAGTGTAGGAGTCAAGTCTCCCATCCGGATTCCAGCCAGGCCTGACCCTGCTTAGCTTCCAAGGTTAGGCAGAATCAGAAAGACACAGGCATCCCTGAGGAAACAGATACTTTCCAGAAAGACATTAGCTTCTCTGTAACCAATCCAGAAGTAGTATGCATTTGCCAAACAGGCCAAGGGAAAGAGTGCCAACCCACTGCCAATTGTTGGTATTGAGACTCATGAAGCAAATTGGATTATTTCATGTACTCTGGTTAAATTCCTAACACTAACAATCTACTTGAGATCCCCAAGGTTTTTTGGTCCAGAAATTAATTAAAAGATTACAAATTTGATACTAAGTTTGAGAAAAATTTCAGAGTTTCATTGTTATATATACACTTGAGGAAACCACTTGAGAATCCCCAGTTCAGTGAGATTATCTTCTGACTATCCCGCCACCAAAAAACACTTTAACCGGAATTTACATATTACTCTTTTACTGTTTGTAATTACTATTACTTTACTATTTGTTCAACCTGCACATTACCTTTTTGGTTTTGCTTCTTAGACATAATAGCTTGTCTGTATTTAATGACTGATGACACAGCAAAGAATCCGTTTCCTCAAATACCAGGTGTAATTCAAGCACTGCTTAGCATCAAGTTTGAAATCACAAAATACTTGCTTGAAGACAGCAATCCCACAGGCTCCAAAAACAACAGAATAGTTGCTAAAATTCCTACTAGAGACTAGAGATCACTGTAGATCCTTCTTCTTAGCACAAACTTCTGTCAGCAGTTCATGATGGTATGTTTCAGATTCTGAAAAAGTAAATGTAGAAGAGGTCAGTTTACTAGCATGGCAGCACATTCTTGCTTCTGTGCAAGAGCACTCCTTAAAACCTTGGGGTTGTCTTTTGAAGTCTATTCATGGGCAGAAAAAAGGATCAAGAAAAAGGCATCTATATACTCAGTAAAATAGCTAGCGGACTTTGACCTGCCTTTTAAACAGCTTGCAGTTCCAGAACTGGAACTAGTTCATTGTGATATAACAACTTTTTAAAGTATAGAAGTGTTAGAATTAGGCAACAGCAGAAGCACCACTGCGTGTTCCTGGTACTATAAAGCTGCAATCCTATTGTGATGATTGTAAGCCCTCGAAATCAGGAGTTTACACTCATCCTATATAAGGTGAAAGATACAGTGGAGGTGATCTTCACTTCCGTGCCCTTTTACCCTGCATTTATGCTAGAAGGGTGCAACAGGGGAATGGGAAGGAAGCTGGGGAGATCTCAGGATAACACATATTCTGGCTTCTCCAATCTCCTCCCCTCACTCCCTACTGGAACACTCCCTCCCCCCCAGGTCACTTTCTCAACCTCAGAGAACAGCCAGCACTTTTCTTTCCATGCTTGCTGTTGGGAGAGGGGGGCAGAAGACAAGAGTTCCAATTCTCAACTCAGAAGTCTGAGTGTTATCTCTGAACTCAGATCTAGGGATCTGAAATATCTTATGACCCCTAAGATGCTGGCAAAGAGCCATACTCCTCAAGTTTATTAATTGCCGAGGACTTTATTAAACAATTACTGAAATGTGAGAAATGCTGTAAAAGTCTGTATCAGATTTAGCAATACTACACAATAGAAAAGGCAGCAAGTCATGCCATGCTCAATTTTGGAAGGCATTTTCTAACCTCGTATGTTTCAGATTTTATAAAAACTTTTTTTTGTTTAAAATGTCATTGCTCTATTGTCTTTGCAGTTGCAAGCTGTAACATTACCATGTAAGACAAGAGGTGAAATGGAAAACAGTAAAGTGCTGCTCTTTTCCCTGTGGCTTAAAGGTTTACAGACCTTTTAAAAAAGCAACTTCAAATTCCGTTTAAGACTAATCAAAACCAAAACACAGAATTGATCAAAACGTGCTTTTGATGATATAGTCGAATGCAGGATTGTGCTGAATGGGCTGAGATTAACTTGCACAATAACTAGGTGTACTGCTATTGACACACTGTGGACCAGAGATGGGAAATGTGTGGCCCTTCAGATGTTTGACTGTGACTTCCACAGCCAGTGATGAGGTATGATGGGAATTGTACTTTAACAACAACGTGGGGCTGTTTATTCCCCACTGCAGCTATAAATCTTCCACAACTGCTTAAATTATAAGCCATACTGAGTGAGCAGAACAAAACTTGTGAGAAAAAGGAACATGATTCCCCAGTTTCTTTTGTGTTTTCATCATTCTTTACTCACAGAGGGCAATATTTTGAAGAGGAGAGCCTCCTTTACCCATGCACAATTCAGAATGTTCGGTTCTCCATAGAATGCTGGAAAATCTGCATTCAAAATTACATGGAGTCTCCATGGATACTAGAAGATCACCCCTGCAGAATGCCACCTTCTACAAGCAGAGGGTGCTGGAATTGTGAGAGCAAGGGCTGGAGCTACCTCACCTTATGTTTACTTACTTAAAACCATAGAAACAGAGGGAGTGAGAAGGGGCCTCCCAGGCCATCTAGTCTAATTCCCGGTTCCAGGTGGCTCTGCTCATGACATGCCTACCATTTGCATGTCAACTAAGAGCATCCCACACCTGTTATTGCTCAATCTCAGGTGGCAGAATGCCACTTGTCCCTCTAAGAAGTTGGATGTTTAATACTGTCTGAATATGGCTACATTTTGGTGGGTGGGTGGAAGGAAAGCAAGGGACAGCCTGGACAAACAGACCCTCTAACCACACACTGCTTTACAGATAATCAGTCTCTTATGAGCTCCTAAAGGAAAATTATTATTATTATTATTATTATTATTATTATTATTATTATTATTATTATTGGCTTCCTACCATGCAAAGGAAATTGGCAATTAAATTAAGCCAATGATCCTCTAGCTCTAGTTTCGAATACAGAGATGCATGCCAACCATGGGCAATATTCAATAAGGCCACTGTACTTATACAATTGATGTAACACTAGCACAAGTAACTTCTAGTGCTACTAGTGTAGGTAAGCATGTTGGAGAGTCCAGGTAAATTTGTTACACCAGTTTACACTGTTGGCATTGCACTAGACATCACTTATACTAGCATTACACCAACTGCCTAAGTGCAGCAGACATGTTAGATACTGGCCTGTGCCTGAATAAAATTAATTCCTGTAAAAGATACTAAAGAAAATAATGTGCAAAAACACAAATAACATGCTTTATTCTTCATTAACATATTGACAGTTTAGCTGAAACATCTTTCATTTATACTTGAGTGAAGTGCCTACCATTTTAACACAAAGGTTATCTTCAATAATATATATAAGTCTGGCAAAGTTTTTAGGAAGTATTCCCCCAAAGTTTACGAAGTCTAGCAAACACTGCAAAGCTTAACAGCTGGTAATAGGACCAAAATTAACAGATTCAGATCCTAAAAGTATTATTCAAATACTATGACTTAAAGTTATATATTCCATTAAAAAAAACCCTTCATTTTTAACTCTACTAGGTATAGAATGCAATGAACAGAGCTAACCAGCTGCAAATACTAGTCAGGCATCACTGTGCTTTCAAATAGTTATTTTTCAGTCTCAGTGGCTAACATTCCCTAGGTCAAAATTTGCTTCTTTCAGAAGAATACAGTGTCCATGATGTGTTTTTAAACTATATGAAAAAAGCAGGTGCAAAGACTGTTCAGGCAACATTTCCACTGCCAGTACAACAGATGTTTTATTTAAATGTTGTGTGCTGGCACAACTATCCTCTAGAAATTCCCCAGATCTGGTTTAAGCATGGCCTATACTTGAAAAAGGATAGCTACTGCGTCAATTCTTTCAGCCCCTTTTAAAACAATTGTCTTAAAAGGGGCTAGGGGAATCATAACAAAATAACTGCTGCAAGGGTCTACAAGCTGATCGCTGCCCATGAATAACTACTCTGAAACCAAGTAGCACTCTAACCATACAAGTGTTATGTCGAAGCAGGACTGCTTCACATAGCCACCTGCCTCACAATCAGGCCCTGCTTTATCTAGCCAAAAGCCATTTTCTTAAATTATTTTTAAGGTTCTTATCTTGGTCAAAGGCACAGAAAGCTCCAGGAATTGGGTAGTATAGAAATGTAATAAAGTCAATGAAATGTACATTTATGCTGTCATAAAGAAAAATGAAGTGTGTGCTTCATTGTCCTATTGAAACCACCGGGAATAAGAAATGCTTCATTTCTGGTGTGGCATTCTATCTATATTTGTCCTCGCATCAGTTTGTTTGATTATCATAACAACTTGCATTAACTCCCTTTCCCATCTACGAGTGAGCAGAACCTCAAACTTTTCCATTATATGGGATTTTAATAACTTAGTATTCTCCAATGAAAATTTAAAAACATGGCAAAATTATTTTAAAGTCATAATGCTGGCAAAGTAGGGAAACACATGGGAGGCAAGCAGAAAGGGTGGTGTCCAACTATTCATTTACCATATATGACCAATAACGGCAGCCAGAAATTTAGGAAATAGTGACTGGGCTTCCACAGCACAACATACTCACTTCAGGTTATAAGTGAAGGGGCATCAAGAGAACCTGTTATGGCTTATTAGATGGCTTGTACGCCCTCAACAAGTTATGGCTTGTAGTTGTGTTTGACCCCTGATGGTTTGTTGGGTCATCTCAACCTGGATGATATGATCCTTTGGGGATCAAGTACAACTACAAGAGAAAATTCCATTGTTGCTCTTACCAAGCAGCTCTGGGTGAGTGCTGCTGACAGGTTCCCCCAAATGGCCAAACAGAAGTGGCTGCCAGAGGCTTCCTGCTGAGGAGTGACCAGGAGTGAAGTTCCATTTTGTCAACTCTCTGGTAGGCTTAGCAGAACATAGCTTGACTCTCCCCTTCTGGTGCTGTTTCGGAGAGGCTGCAGCACCTGATGGGAAGAGCCGCATTCTGCAAAAGGACAGTGCTGCTGTTGAGAGAAGTACCACCACCAGCAGCAGCTTGTGAGCTGCATTCACAACTCAAGGTGAGGGCTGTCAGCAATCCTTGCTCCCTCACTTGCCACCTCATCACCCAGGTCAACAAATGCCAGTGGGGGCAGGGGAGGAGGGGAGGAAGTTCAGAGTCCCAAGGTATACTACAAGTGGACTGAGGGAGAAGGAAGGGACAGTGGGTTACTCCCCACCCACAATGCACTAAATGGTTTCATGTCAGGTGTATCAGGGTACCATGACTTACAAACCAGAATAGAGCAGTCTGGCTTAACATCTTGTGCAAAACCAGCCACTTCATGATCTCCCTTGTGGCAGAAAACAGGAAATAATTTACATTATTAGCTTCAAATCACACCTTTCCTTGAAAAAAGGACCTAAAGTTTAAAGTCATCAACTTGCAGAAAGTAAATTGGCCAATTTAGAACACATGCTTTTTGGAATGATGCTCTTCACTTCAGAATCATTCAGAAAGCGCTGGTTGTTTCTGCTTTCTTGGTGGCTCTGAAGTTCTGGACAACTACAGACAGATTAACACCCACTCTTGGACTATGCTGTACTGAACTAAGGGGGAACAAAGCACTTCCGAAACATGGTATTTTCCCTTTACCACTAACAGAGCAATCTGTCACATATCTACTCTGGATAATCTATAGAAAGGATCCTGATTATTTTTTATTTTTAAATGTTTTGATGTTGTTTTATGTTATTCACTGACAAGATAAAGAGAGGCAAAATGACATACAGACTAAACTCCAGACTGACCATGTGAGCTATTATAAATACAAAAATAATGCTGGCTACATATGGTGTTATATACTTACTCAGTAAAACCTTAAACACTTGCAAAAACAAACATGCTCAAGATTTAAATATTTTCTTTCCCAAAATTTAAGGGAAACAAAATCTGGAGAAGAGCAAATGAAAAAAATATAAATTTATAACCAACTAAGCAGAGATGAAGGTAAAGAAATGAAAATGATGCATGAACATGTTTTCTTGGTAAGCTAAAACAAGCAAAAATGGCATTTGAAGGAATACTATATTAAAGCATGAGGAAGAGCCCACTTCTGTAAGAACTATTTCACAAAGAGATCTGGAAGCAAACAATTAAAAAGAAACAAAATATTTAAAAGTACTTTTTGATGTTATCAAACACCCAAGATAGGAAGTATTACAGGATGTAAATAATAAATGTAAAAGAAATCTTAAGCATAATAAAACACTTCTGAAACATATTTAAAATTATTTACTGATATGTCTGGTTTCACTATCCACAAACCTAAACATTTTCTAGTACACCTATTTCAATCATAAGAAAATAAGAAGAGCCATACTGGATCAAACTGAAGGCCCATCTAGTCCATATTCCAAGGGCTGTCACAGCATAGCTTTATATAAGAGCAATATGATATTGGAAGTTTTATTTGTAATTCCTTTTGTAATACTACCCAGCATAGAATTTGTGTTTTCCACAGCAGCCACATACAAGGCTGAAATTTCCATTAAGCTGACCATGTAACCCCCAAAATCTCTTTCTTGATTAGTCACCAGGAACTCAGATTCTATCAGCATATATGCAAACTGGGAATTTTTTGCCCCAAGGTGCAGCATTTCACACTTGCTTACCCTGAAGTACTCCAGAAGAAGATAAGAACTGCAGTTGGTTGCCCAGAAGCAATTTTCTTGCCACAGGCAACTGGCTAAGAGGCTATTTAGAAATCTGCTCTTCTATTATTAAATGAGGAAACTGACTTTTATTATCAGATGAAACAGCCTTATTGAAGTGTGACTTGAAGAGTTAGAAACAAAGTGGAGTTTGTTAGCTTTAATTAAAATGCAAAATACCTCAGTGGAATAGATTAAGTCAGGGCAGATTTTGTGCTGAGAATGCACTCTGATATTCATAGTTTGAAGAGACAAAACAGTTTTATTGCTAAATCTAAGGAGATCTGGCTCCAAGCACATCAGGATTGTGCAAGTCTGCAAGATCATCCTATACAAGCCTCTCTACATTTCAGGTGAGGAGTAAGGCTGAGCTGCAACCAAAGGGAGAGGTAAATATGCCTGAACAGTAAAGTGCACTTATCAGTCAGTTAAGGAAAGAAATAGCTTAACTGTTGCTTTCTCCTTTCCCATCCCTAAAAAAATCTAAGCAGCAAAAAGTGCTAAAGTTTGCTGATATTTAACTTATACTTGATACTTTGAAAAGATTGTTTAAGGAAACCATGAACCAAAAAACCATGGTACCTCAGTAAAAGGATCTGAAGCAATTGCTGGCCAGTCTTTCTCTGGAAGAAAGGATAGCAAGAACTTTTGTTAAATGTAAGAAGAAAGATGAGTGGTTGAAAAAGACTAATAGGACAATGCATTCAAGTTTCTAATGAGATAGAATTAGAATGGATCTAATGGATCTGTTGTAATTCTAAATTAGTAGCAAAATAATATTTGTATGTTATTGCTAGTTGCTAGTTGAAAGCGAGTTTGAAACAGTATGCTTACCATCACCAATCAGTACAGAGAGCGTCGACTGTTAGGCCGCATAGAAATCAATGAAAGAAAAAGAAAGAAAGAACATGTCTATTACCTTTAAGACATTTCTTTCATTCTGGAATTTTGTAGGAAGATTTCTTTCCCCTCCAAGTCTGAACAACACCTATATTATGCAGCAGCATCTGGAGCTAATTGGCTTTTGAGTACAGTAGTCCCTTACCAAGCTATTTTAGTCTTGTTGATCACATACATAAAGATCTCAGCAAGGTGCACAACTTACAATTATTCTCAAGCACACAGTTCACAAGATACTAGGTTTACCACAAATAGCAAATGCCCAAGAGGACAAAGATGTTTTCTCCAAGTTATGCATCATGTCTTGGTAGTCAAGAAACTTGGCAGTTTCTATTATTCAGAGATGATCAACCATACTTAAAAGTTAAAAATTTCAGATCATCATTTGCACAGCTTAATTTTTCACCATACTTAAGGTATAAGTCTGAACTTTCTCAGATATTTTTTATTGCATTTGAAGGTTTGAAATACAACTTTTCTTTAAAAAAAAAAAGAAAAGCAAAAGGTAATGTACAATTAAATTTGAGGTGTTTCCCCAATCCTATCACTTGCAGCATGATCAAGCAATTATTGTGTATTCCAAGCAACAAGACCTTTCCTGACCACAACATCCATCATTAAGACACTCCCCACCCCTGGTACCATGCTGCCTGTTGCCCTTTTCCATCTAATTCATGTTTCTTTCCCAGTCATTATGAATAAACCATAACCCCCCCCCCTTCATCTTTCAAACATTTCCATTCCGGTTAAGGAAACATTCCTACCTATTTCGTAATAGAAGTAATTCATTCCAGCAGTAAAGCACCTCACTTTTGTACAGTACAAATTATCATTTCCAGAAAAAGAAAACTGCTCCTTCCTCCCGAGTTGACCGTTTTCAAACACTTTACCGCTGGTGGTCAACGCAACAAGGAGCAAAACGAGCAGCAAACCAAGGTATGCTGCTAGTGCAAAGCCTCCAAACCTTGGCTGGACCACCTCCTCTCGTCAGCCTTCATGTTCTATACCGTCACAGTATGCCGCTTTCGCACTCCATCATTCCCATCCGCTTCATTTCGGGTGGTAGGAAGAGGCGCTAAGGCCCAAGCCAAACCCAGAACACGCCCCTCTGGCCTGGAAGCCTAATTCCCAAGACTAGGGACTCCCTCCGCTCAGTCAATGGCAACAGCAAAATGCACTCTGGACATGTTCAGGGGCACTTTCGCGCCTAGACAGACACCCTTATTGCACATATCCCGGGAATAAAAAAGATACCAGGGATGAACCACAGTGAGCCCCGCTGCCGCCGCCGCCTGCGAAACCCCCCTCCCCCGGCTCTTCGCTCCCAAGCCTCAATTCGCTCACTTCAGAATCCGGCTTCTCCTTCCTCCTCCATCCCTTTCACCACCCAAGGGCTCTTCTCAGCTTGGGGCCCCCTCTCCGTCCGCACCCCCAGAGCCTCACCTAGTTCCCAGGCGCACCCCTTCCCACTCCTCGAGGAGACCCCAGTCACGGCTGTCGCAACAACCGACCCCCGCCCCCTTTACCTCAGGCCGCAGCCGCCGCAAAGCACCGGAGAAACGAGCCCCGCCCACCAGCAGGCGAAGCCCAGAGAGAAAGAGAGAGAAAGCTGCGAAGGGAACACGAACCTCGCAGCCAATTGGGCAGCGGGAGCCGCTCTTCCTCAGCCAATGGAACAGGTCTCTGGCTTAAGCCAATGGAGCCAACGGAGAAGCGAGCTCTCGCCCACCCACCGCCTCCCACGAGACTGAAGACTGAGTTCGGCTCGAGAACAACGGAACCACTCTAGCTACTGAAACCCCTCGCCCGCTACCCAATCGGCCTCGCTGTGGAGATTAGCCAATCCAATAAAAGAATGAGATTGCTTTCGGGTGAATCGTCACGGCCCTAAGCCAATCGCCAAAGCCGCAGAACTTGAACCAATCCAGGTGCGTAAAGCGTGGCAAGAAGGTGCGCTCGCCCAATCACGAAGCGCCCAGGAACAATAGCTCAAAAGCCCCCCTCCTTTTTTTCTACCGCTTCGGCCAAGGAAGAAGGAAATGTCCTGAAGGAAGGCGACGGTGCTCGAAGGGGGAATTGCTCGGGGTACTGAGAGATTGGCGCCACTTTCCCTGTCCCCGTTTCGGCACTTGCGTTTGGGGACTGACTTCTCATCTTCCTATCCTTAGACATCCTTTCCCGAAACGTAGACGTAGCAGATAACAACTCAATAGGTGAAGCTAAGCCTGCATTTCTATGATAGGAAAAGTGGTTTTCTGCCTTTTGTGCATTTGTAAAGGCTAAGGAACCCTGCCAGAGCAGGAGAATTGCAATGCTGTTCAGCAATCAAAATTCTTCAGGCTGTTAGGGCAGGCCTACGATCCCTGTCATCCCTCACCGTAGGCTATGCTGGTTAGGGCTGTATGATAAAGCATCTGGAGGGCCCCATGTTGCTCACGTCTGTATTAGTGATTTCTCCAAGCCTTCCTTATATTTTTAAGTGCTCCCTACTCCTATGTCGAGTTGGGAATTCAGAACAGAAGTACTTTGGGATCCAGTTTTAACCCACTAACGATTAGAAAGGGTTGTCAATATATTCTGATAAAAGAAGTCTAGAAATAGGCGGATTATTCATACACAGAGCCTATCTTACCAATTATATGTATTTCTACATATTTCCAAGCTCTATCTGTGAAACTGTAAAAGTTTTCTTAGCTGAGCTGTGGTGAAGCTGGGGTGAAGCTGGGTTCACGTTAAGAATATGAACATGCACAAACCGAAATCATCCTCAGATTTTTATTTTTTTTTAATTTTGGAGCATCCCTCTTCCAGATCCGGAGGCGCTCTATATGATGTGGATTTGAGCCCAGCGCCCCAAACCTAATGCCATTTTTTTGTCCACAGAATTTACAAGGCTATTGCTTCTCTGAAACATATTTATGTACTCCCACTTTTAGTTTCTGTGTTCAAATTTCCTTTTAGGGTCATTTCCCCCAAGCATTTTTTATTATTAATCTGGAGTTTCATTCATCCATTCATTCATTTCAGCAGCTCGGTAGTGACACCTGCTGGGTCTAGAAGGACTTACTAGTAATCCAAACCAAAAACTCCCGTGAAATTTAACGGTTGCACCAAAATGCTTAATCCAGACATCCAAGAATAACAATCTAGGAAGATTTTAAGGAAAGTTAGACAATAGATGGACATGTCATGTTTAGTTAGTAAATCAAGGTTTGGAATATATGGCCTGCTAAGGTTTTCCATGTGCTCTGACAGTCTTCCCCAACTTTGTGCCTTCCAGCTGCTTTGGACTACAACTTTCATCATCCCAAGGCAGCAAGGCCAATGGCTGCAAAGCACCAAGATGGAGACAGCTGTGCTATGCCATAGAACAAGACATGATGTTATAATAAGATTATAATACTCTGTGTTGAAAAACATGAAATGCTGGTCTTCTGGGAAGTAGACTACCAGCAATAATGGTTTCTCTATATTGACCCAAGAGGATTTTTTCCACTTAGTTTTAGTTTATAAGGCCTTAAAAACACACACATAGGAAGTTATGCTGCTAGGGATTTAGAAAGAATCTCAATGAAATATAAAGAAACCCAAGATGCAAATTTATGCACACTTACGTCAAAGTAAGCCTTACTGGATTCAGTGGACTGTACTTCTGAGTAGACATGTGCAGAATTACTGAGCCACAGCCCAGGTTGTTTGTTTGTTTATGAATGTGTATCATTTTCAGTACAAAAGCTCTAATGTGGTGTACAAATACACCACTAAATCAATTTCATAACCAAAGAATAGCAATAATACAACCTAAAAATGAATCAAAATATATATACAAGTAAAAGTACTGATAGATCCTAATTGCACATTTAATAATTCAATTCCAAATTGAATGATAATTTCTGGAACCAATGCACTGGGATAATTTGACATTTTTCTTAGTTGCCCAGCTTCTGTTTCAGAAGTTTTCCAAAGTCAAGAAAAGCTATGTTCAAACCTCTCCAGTGGTAATTAACACTTTTTATTTATTTATAATGCAATCCTATACCTACTTACCTGGAAGTAAGCCCCATTGAACTCGGTGGGATGTACAGTGGTACCTCGGCTCACAACGCCTCAGTTCACAACCAAATTGGGTCATGAACAAAAATTTCTTAAAATTTTTTACTCAGGTTGTGAACTCCGCATTGAGTGGCAACTGTGATTGCAGCCATCTCTCCCCCACCCCCTCCAAGTGGGGAGCTGGCCGCTATCATGCAGGGGGTGGCAGGGAGATGGCTGAGATCACGCCCGTCTTTCCTGCATGAGCGCAACCGCAATCTCGGCCATCTCCCCCTGCCCAGCGCACCCATGTTGGTGCCCGTCTCTCCCCCCACCAGCATGCTGGGATGTTCGTGCTCGGGGTGGGGGTGAGGGAGATGGCTGTGATCTTTGTTGTTCTTTGTCACTTTGCTTCACATTTTTCTGATTAAAAAAATAGTTACAGAATGGATTAACCTTATTTACATTGAACCTTATGGGGAAATTTAACTTGGCTCATGACCAACTTGGGTCACAACCAGAGTCCTGGAATGGATTAAGTTTGTGAGCCAAGGTACCACCGTACTTAGGAGTAGGCTTCTATAGGATTACACTGTTAATAAGTTTGTTGCCTATCCTTCAATACAAATATTTCAGAAGAGCAAAGTTTAATGGCACTCATGTCAAAAAACAGGGCATGTAAAACTAAAAGGTGAAGAGAAAGATTGATAAGATGTGTTATAGGAGGTTTGCCCTTCTGGACCAATATGAGACAAACAGAAAATAATACTGCAACCAAACCTTTAACCTCTAAGAAACCCCATCTTACACTTTGAAAACTCTAGCTTGAACAGTGTTTTGTTCTCCAGCAACATAATAGCAAGAAGAGTTTTTGGAGTTATCAAGAGTATGGTCATGCATGCTTTGATTTCTTCATCTTCATGAGAAGCTCATACGCAGCCTGCACCTCAAGAAAACGTCTCTCTGATTCTTCTGCCTGATGGCGATTGTGATCTGGATGCCAAAGCTTCACCAACTCCCGGTACCTTTTGCTGATTTCTTCAGATGTGGCATCCTCATGGATGCCCAGGACCTAAGGCAAAGGGGGAAAACATCCTGTTACTGCTGTGAGGATTTCTGGTGGACCTGGTAAGCACTGCCGTGACAGTAGCTGGGGTGATGTTGGGAAATGGCAGCGGGAGCCAAGAACAATTGTCCAGTTTTGCCTGCTGTGATGACATGCTGCCAGATTTGTATAACCCAAGATCTAAATGCAGAATAAGCTATGTTGAATCTCAAACTCAGGTCTGAACCCTGTCCTCCTAGGGTCCCAGTGACCCTCAGCGATCCCTCAAATGGCCCGACCTCCTTCACATCACCTCGTGGCTCTCTCCACCTCCATTGGTCAGTGGTGTCCAAGCTTTCGCTCATTTTCCCACCATTCTACAAACTGAAATGTTTCTCCTAAGCTTTAGTTACCAGTAGTAGTTGCTTTAAGTCAAAAATATGCAGGTATTTTTGATGTTGTCAGCCTCATCTCTCTTGCCTTTGGCCCCTCCCATCACCAGAATAACATTGCCTTCTGCCCTGCCCAGAGTGCTCCCAAATGGAATTTGTCTCTCCAGCTGAAAGAAGTTCTGTACATTTCCTCTACCAGTGACTAGGAACTAAAGACTGGTCTTGACTATCCAGCTGGTTCAGACCATTTTCCCTTGTCCCTTATGCCCAGAACCCCTCCATATGACCGCCTCCCTGATTTTCCTTTAAGTCCATCCTCAAAATGCATGTAGGGAGCAATCCTAGACATGTCAAGTGGGGGGGGGCACAGGATAACCTGCATCCCCAGCTCTGAGATCAGAGACAGTGCTCTGACTGCAAAGGTAGGAGGTCTGTTGCCCTCTCCCCCTCACACCTGCTGTGGACTGAGCCATGCCAGCTGCTCTCTGAGATCTGGAAACTGACTGCATACAGGGCTTGAAGGAGGATCTTGTGGAGAGGGGAGGAACTAGAATCCAAGTGACTGACACCTCTCCAGTGTCCTTCCCTTCCAAACCTGCCTAGCAAAAAATGCAGGGAGACAAAAGCGGCCTTTGCCACTCATACTCCTCTGCAATGGATGAACATAAACCTCCAAATTCCAGAGCTTACAGCTGTCCCAACAGGAGTGAGACCTTGTTCTGGAAAACCTTTAGGTCATCCCCTAGTCCCTGTACTTTTTCGAAACTAAGTCAGAGTACATGGTGGTGACAGAAGCACGCAGTCTCCCCCTGCATACCCGTATCTCCATTTTTCCCTTCTTCTGTTGTTTCCCCATGTCTGCTTAGAATGAGGTCATCGCAGTCTTCAACTGCCATTCCTGTTCTTTGTAAAGCACCCTGCTCATATATGGTGTAATTTTAATAATAAATAACAACGTGCCCTTTCACTGGAGAGCAACTGTTGTGCAATAGTGTTTCAGATGAGGACTATGGCTATCCAGGTTCAAACTCCTCCTCAGCCATGAAGTTCAGAGAATGGCCTTTGACCAGTTGCTATGCTTCCCAGCCTAAGCCTACCTCACTGGCTTTTATGAGGATAAAATAGAGGGAATGAGGTGGGAGGGAGAAACACGTGTGCTGCCTTGAACTCCTTGAAAGAAGACCAGGATTAAAATGTAATAAATGAATGAAACTGGGAATGGGGGCATTGCAATTCCTTCTTCCAAAGGCAGAACCCATGTGTTCCAGTTTCCTGCTCCCAATTCCGCTCACCCACAGGCTTTTCAGATCCTACCCCTTTCCTATTCAGTCTCTCATACAGTGTCCCTTTTCTCAAATAATGGTGACCTGAGTCCTGAGAATAGCGAACCTTGTATGCCATCTGTCGCCTTTCATCCTGGAAAGATTGCACAAATACAAATACTTTCTCCCACTCCTGGAAGTAGCCTTCACTGAAGCCCAGCATCCTCCAGGTACGGTAGGGCAGGAGAAGTGCCGATTCCACCATGTTGCCCAGCAGTGGAAACATGTTGAGGTAATCCAGAGCAGCTCCAATCGTGCTGGCCACAGAGCTGATGGTGGCCGCTGTGTTGCAGAAGGCGCAGTAGGCCAAGGGCGTTGTGAAAGCCAGGTAAGCCAGGCCCAGTCGGTACACGCGGCCACTCAGTTTCTCACTGGTGTGCCTGCTGGATTTGTAGTGCCGATGCCACTGGGCCGTCACGCTGGTTATGAGACTGATGGGCAGGATTGCCACGGAGCGGCCGTAGAAGATTAGTGAGGTTACGAAGGCAGCTGTGAAGGTAGCCTGAAGATTCGAGGCCTGATTACCTACTCCAGACACCAAGTGAACTCCCAGGCCCACCGCCAGGGGAAGAGCCAGAATGTAAAAACCAGGCAGGGCTGAGAGAGCAATGAGAGCCGCTAACCCAAAGTAGATCCCTACGAAGGCTTGGCCAAAGAAGCGCACAGGGTTCAATGGCGGCTGTTCGTCGCTCTGTGGTTCCAGGGTGCCGTTGGCCTGAGCCACCCAGCCGGGCAGCAGCCAGAGCTCCCAGAGCCACCCAAAGCCAAAGCCACCCAGTGTCAGCATCCACAGTAAGGCGTGGTTATCCCGGCCCAGGTAAAGGTGGTGGAGTCCAAGTGGGCCTCCGAGGGCCCAGAGGGCAATAGCCACCAGCAGCCGCTTGGCCATCATTCACTGCAGACCAGGTCTCCCGCTACAGCACATCTCGCTGTCTGCCAGTAGATCTGAGGAGGGCCAGAGAAAAAGAACACTCGATGTAGAAAGCAGACTGGTCCATGCAAGTGTCGGAGTGCTAGGTCATAGTAGGCTGTGATTCTTGCCACATGCTATATAGTATCCTCCTACCAATACTATAAACAATCGACTGTCTGCTCCTTTCCTGGCTCCTGGATGTCTGGTCCCATCAGCTCATGGGAACTCCCAGGTCGGGGCAGTGTCAAGCGCAGGTATGGAGAGGGCCCACACCCAGGCAGAAGCCCACTGACTAGAGCCCCATGGTCTCCCTCCTACTTTTTTGCCATCGCAACCTGCTTCTTCGCCTGCCTCTCACTGGGACTGCAGTGAGGAAGAGGAGGAGGAGCAGATGTGCTGCCTGCTTGCTTACTGGCCTGTCAAGTACCGATGATGTGGAAGAGAACAAGGAGCCGCAGCAGGTGGTGACAACAGCAGTGAGAAGGTAGACTCACTGAGAGGGGAGGGCCTAGTGCGGGGCTTTGCCCAGGAACCCTTGAATCCTGGAGCCAGTGCTGCTCCTGGTGCCCGCCTGGCAACTAGCGGCCGCCATCTCAGGATGCTTCCATGCCTCCCGAAGGCCTACCATCCTCAAGAGAAGGGGTTTCTTAGCCAGAAGGCTGTCTATTCTCAGAGCTTCCCAAACCTCCCACGTACCAAATCCAGGAAGACTGCACTCACCCATTCTTGAACCGACAGAAGACATCTAAGCGGTGCCAAGGCAAAGCAGCCACCATAGCTGGGAGGCAGAGCCCAAGCTTTGCATGCAGAGGGCCCCAGGTTCAATCCCCAGCCTCTCCAGGGCTGCTGACCATCCATGAGCTAGTGGACACATCGTCTGACCCCTGGAGCTTCCTATGGTCCCCTGAACAGCCTTTCTGGAACCAGAGCCACATACCTGTCAGCTCTCTCCCAGCGAAGGCATGTCAGCAAACTCATCAAGGCTGCAATGTTGACTCAGGAGCCTTTGATCTCATGGGGCCTCCCTAGCCTGGACTTTGCCTTCTCCGTGGGGGCAGTGTGATGCGATTGGGCACCAGCCAGGAAGGGAAGAGGCGTGCCCGCTGGGGCACACCCTGTGCAGCTGACCGCCTTGGAGGGGCAGGGTTGTATAGAGAGCCTTTGTCAGGGCTTGGGGGAGAACCCAGCACTAGAGCTGTTCTATAGTTGGCTAGTGGCTGGCGGTAATTGGATTTTAAACTACAGCGGTTTCCCCTGGGATGTGTGTGTAGCGAGGAAGTATTTCAACCCCCCTCTCCCAGCCAAAAAATGGGGAAGAATGCCTTTTTCATAGTTGCCTCTAAGGCAAAATCTCTCTTAACTCCTTATGGAGTTAAGCATGGAGAAACGGGACAGCAATGCTTTCCTTTTGAACCTGGTGGTTCAAACTGCCTTCCTGGGTCAAGCCAAGATCGAACTCGTCCAACGTGTTGCTTCTAATGACCACCAGCCAGGAGCCTCCAAAAGCTCACAAGCCAGACATGAAGACGCCCTTTTCATAGCATAACTTTCCCCTGGACTAATCTTGTTTGCATCTGGCACTCTTCACTTACATTTATGCAGAAATAAAAATCTAGGCAGTTCACTGGACCTTGCTCTCAAGCAAGCCTATATGAGATTGCAGCCTCAGAGTTTTCTCAGACTTCGCAAACCTGTCACCCTCTAGATGTTTTGGAGTATGATTCCCAGGATTCCTGACCACTGGCCATGTTGCCTGGGCTTGAAGGAGAGTTGTGGTTCAACATGTCTGAGGGCACCAGGTTGGGGAAGGCTGCTATATCTGAACATAGAAGGTTAGTCTTCAGCAAACCCTCCCAGCAATCTTGTCTCCTTTTGAAGCAGGCAGTGGAAGTTCTGCACATCCCAAGGACGCCAGTGTAGTCTTGAAATGTCTTCCGTTACCTCATGACCACCAAGAATGGGCCAACACATTCCCAGCAAAAAGCTAGTGTTCGCCGTGCTCTCCTACGCAACCCCAGTGCTGGAGACTAGTATCAACTCTGTGTGTGTGTGTTAGTTATTTCCACTCATACCCTCAAGCTCTAAAATGATTAGCTCTCAGGGTTAATCATTGTTGATATTTCACCAATTGGGAATACTGGGATTTGCAGGTCTTTACATCTAGAAGGCACACAGCTGCTGTAAAGGGATGCCACACACGTAAGCATGCTGGCACGGCAAGACCCATTTCTAAAACAAGATGTACTGGAGGCTCAGGCCTGTTTGCCTCTTAACCTCAGTTGTATGGGAGCTAATATTTTGCAGGAAAACACTCAGAGATATTACCGTGCACAAGAGCCTGATCTTGCCTAACCTTGGAAACCAAACAGGATCAGGCCTGGTGGAAATCTGGACAAGTGACTTGAGTCCTGCATTATTTATTTATTTTAACCATTTATATCCTGTCTATACATAAAAGTCTCAAGATGGTTCAACAACAAAGGCACAGCGTAATATCTAGAATAAAAACCCGACTAAAATAAAAAAATAATAAATCTTAAAATAATGGGAAAATAAAAAGGTTTTGGTCTGGCACCAAAAAGAATAACGTGTCGGTGTCAGGCACACCTCTGGAGAGCATGTTCCACAGCCAGGGTGCCACCACAGAGAAGGCCCTCTTCCAGGTAGCCACTCTCCTAATCTCTTTCAAAGAGATCTCCTGAAGAAGGATCACCAATCCAGATCTTAAGGGGCAGGCAGGCACATAGGGAAGGAGACACTCCTTCAGATAACCAGGTCCTAAACTGTTTAGGGCTTTATAGGTTATAACCAACACCTTAAATTGGGCCTGGACTTCAATTGGTAGCCAATGTAGATGGTAAAGGACTAGCATTATGTGAGCATATCTGCTGGTCCCTGTTAACATCCTGGCTGCTTTATTTTGGTCCAACTGAAGTATCCAGACCATCTTCAAGGGCAGCCCCACGTAGAGTGCATTATAGTAGTCCAGCCGGGAGGTTACCAGGGATGGGTCACCCTTGCTAGTCTTTGCTCATCCAGGTAAGGGCACAGTTGATGAACCAGCCAAAGCTGAAGGAAGGCATTCCTCACCACCGTAGCCACCAGAGTTCCAGGGACAGCTCTGGGTCGAGGAGCACTCCTTAAACTAACCCTAACTGCTCACCCTGTCCTTTAGGGGGAGTGCAACCCTGTCTAGGACAGGGCAAAGATCATTTACCTGGAAAGCTGAACCACCTACAACAGGACCTCCACCTTGTCAGGATTAAGCCTTGGACAGGCACCAGTTAAGGACAGCCACTGCATCACCTGGATTGGATGTAAAAGAGGGGTATAGCTGGCCGTTATCAGCATACTGGTGACTCTGCAACCCAAACCCCCAGATGACCTTTCCCAGCAGTTTCATGTAGATGTTAAAGAGCATGGAGGATAAAATGGAACTCTGCGAAGCTGCCATGGCGCAGAGCCAAAATCCCCCAGCACCACCTTCAGGAATTGGCCAGACAGGTAGGAGTGGAACCACTGCGAAGCACTGCCTCCAACCCCCAGCTCAGCCAGCCTATCCAAAAGGATACCATGGTCAATGGTATGGACTTGACTTGATGGCCAGCTAGGCCTCTTCCAGCTGCATGATTCTATGAAATCACGCGAAATCACAGAGGCTGTTTATCAGTGTGACTAGTCGTGATAGTTGCATGGAACTTCTAGCTCTGAATGTGGTGCCATGCCACTACAGCATACAGGAAGAGAAGCCTGTCATTTTTATATCTTGCTTATGTCATCCCATATCTGGTTCACCATGGCAGGAAACAAGGTCCTGGACTAGGTGTACCTTTGATCTGATCCCCCAGGGCTCTCCTTGTGTTCGTATTAATATGTCATGTTTGAAGGCTGAGTTGCTGGTTCTGGGCTAAGCCCCGGCAGCCTGAACTCTATTTACCCCCTAGAGAAGCATTCATCTGATTGCTTTACTCATGCCAAAGTCATGGTTTATCATTTCAGAGTTCATTAGTGGCCTGTTAAACTGCAATCCCCCTCTAATGCAAGAGGAAAAGCAATACACTTGATGCCGCTTTTTTCCAAATCAACGCGAATGGAAGGAAGCTTCCTGTCATTAAAAAAAAAAGCCTTGAGCCACCAGGTGGCAGCATCCACATCATAATGAAAACTGACGGGAGTGATGCATCCTTTGTGCCAGACTTTCACCTTCACCATATCCACAGATGCAGTGTGCAAAGGTGGACTTCTGTGGGAGTCAAACACACTAGGAACTCCCTGGAGATACTTCGAAATGCCTACATGGAAAGCACTTACTTGTTGGCATTGGGATGATGCCACTGTGCAGATCCATCACACCGAGTTTGCACTAAGTGGACCTCTTCTGGAAGGTTGAAAGTGGCTATTTTGGCATTATATGTTGTTGGACCCTAACTCCTATCATCCTGGATTACCGACCATGCAAGATGGGGCTGATAGGAATCTCACAGGGAAAGTTGCTCTCAAGTATCCACATCCAAGGCTTTTAAAGGAACTAATTTGGGTCTTGAGTTGTGTGTGATAAAAGTTAGACTGAGTGATGTAAACAGAATCTTGCAGTATGTATAGCAAATTTCAGTGGAAATTCAACCCTTCCTGCTTTAACTTTTGAGAATTCATCTCTAAATTGAACTTGATATTGGAAGTTGCTTTGACTTTGCTCATGATTAAGATGTTTTGGCATGACTGACAGCCCACTGCGAAGCTGCATGGATGTTGTAGTGGAACTGTGGAACTTTTCTGAATTAAAATATTTAGCACCTACAGTATATTCAGTGGTTATATGCATGTTAGTTATTCCCTTTCCTCTTCTTTTCCAACTTAGATAAGGAAGAAAGTCTTGTTCCCTCTTGTGTGTGTGTTTTGAATGAAATAATAATGCAGATCCCATTTGGAGCCAGTGTGGTGTAGTGGTTAAGAGCATGGGACTGGGACTCAGGCGATCCGGGTTCTAGTCCCCGTGCGGCCATGGAGCCAACCGGGTGACTTTGGGCCAGTCACAGACTCTCAGCCCAACCTATCTCACAGGGTTGTTGTTGTGGGGATAAGATGGAGGAGGAGAATGATGTGAGCTGCCTTGAGCCCTTTGTCGGAAAAAGGCAGGATATAAATCGATAAATAAATAAATAAATAAATAAATATGCTAAAATGCAGCTGTTCTGTGAAGCAGACTTCCTCCAAGCTGGCACCTTCCAGATGTGTTAGATTATAGCTCCCATCACCCCCACCCAGAACAGCCATTTGGGCTATTGGATGGGGATAGTGGGAGTAGCGATCAACACATCTGGAGGGTGCCGTGTTGAGGAAGGCTGCTGTAGAAGGATATAACACCTACCCTGGCAAATGCACTTCAGGAATTATAGAGGCCTGGTTCGGGGTTCACCCTTTACTGCAACCCCTATAGGAGAATATGATATGGTTAAAACTGCTAGGATTTTGGGCTTAAATTAAGGATTCTCTCCATAATTTGAGCACGGAGGACACACAAAATGAAATTAGTATCCTGGAATATGAGACACTTGCATTAATAATAAAATACCATCCCTGCTGATCTGATATTCTGAGATAGTGACCCAGACAGGCAAGGGGGACAGGAGGGACACTCCTCCCGCTATTCTATTTATCTGTCACTTCCCTCTGCCCCCTCCAATGTATCCCACATCTTTTTGTTGTGGTTAGCTGACCAACGGATGAGTCTAGCAGCAATTTTACCAGGGCAGCCCATGAGAAAGGTATCTCATTGCCCATGTAAATTTCATGCAGACACCCCATAAAAATTAATAGCACCAACAAGTCCCCTGACCCAGCACTGCAGGGAGATGGCCTGCCTGTCTCTCCTTCGCAAGCTCCTGTTTGCACAGGCACTCACAGTATTATCATCCTTATTTACATAGATTAGTGAGTAG